TCCATCAGCTGCACCCTACAGGAGAAAGATAGGCAAGCTCCTCCCATGTGATTAAAAAAAATCAGTATTGTTTGCATACAAAATTTGTATACATTGTGTTTCACACATTCATTCATTAATTCATGTTGTTTCACCCGATCATGCCAATGCATTATGTCTTATAAAATTAATCACCATTGATCTATGCCCACTATTAACCCATCTTTTCTGATCCTGAATGGCTCTTTTCTAATTCCTTCACCCTCTCCTTCCATCTACCAAACTCTCCAACTCTGATTTCCCTCTCCTGTGGGATTTTGGAGCCTCTGGAAAAAAAATGGAGGGTCAGCTGTGAGTCCATTCCGACTCGATGGCATGTAACAAACCCTACGGCAGTTTCCACTTGCACATGAATTAGAAGCTATTGTCATCTTTTCATCATGATACTTTATGTAACAAAGAGAACTAGGACCAAGTCTTGAGATTCATGACTTTGAGGATTTAGAATGTCTTCTCAGCTTGGGAAAATGATGCCATCTGGTGGCCATAGCTGAGCACCAACTGTTGGCTGTTGGCATTTTGTTTTTTTGGGTCTTTCAATTTATACCGTACTATGTTTTGAGCTGTTATTATGTACTAGACTTTATATAATATAAAATGGAAAAATAGACTTTATTACTAAAAGGCTCATTGTAAATAAATATAAGGTGTATATGTTTATTTCAAATGGAACAAAACTTTGTTTTAAGTTATGGCTTTGGACCGTTGAGGGGGTACTGACCCATAGCTGGCCCTCCAACAGATTTTCAGAAGCAGTAAATCAAATGGGAGGAGATTGCCCATCTTTCTCACGTGGAGCATTTGGTGATGCTTTTGGGTTAGCTGCCAACTCCTTTGCTTCTCTTTTATGGCTAAACAATATTCCATTGTATGTATATGCCATATTTTAACTACTCATTTGTTGCTGACAACCTAAGTGATTTTCACCTTTTGGTTACTGTGAATAATGCTTTAAGGATTATTGGTCTACAAATGTCTATTTGCATCACTGCTTAGTCTCTTAACTATGTCCAGGGGAGCTCTGGTCATCTAATGGTAAGAAACTGTGCTGCAATCATAAAGGCACATAGTTTGACTTCACCAGCTGCTCTGCAGGAAAAGGATGGACATTCTCCTCCTGAGCAATTTACTGCCTCTGACAACCTGCTGGAGGATCAACTATGAAATGGTTTCAATTCAGCGACACCCAACAGCAGCATGAAAATACCTAGAAATGGAATTGCTGGGCTGTCGGGTGGTTCTCAGGAGTTCTGGTAGCGTAGTGTGCTTGTGTGTTGTGCTGCTAACCAAACAGTCAGCACTGGCTCAGATCAAGTCACTGTGTAGGAGAATGAGAGACGACAGTCTTCTCCTCTGAAAATTTACTGCCTCAGGAACCTGGGAGGGTCACTGTGAGTCAGTGTTAACCCAACTGCAGTGAGTTTGGTTTTGGTTTATGGTAGTTCTACCTTTGACTTAAGGAATTGCAAAATTGCTTTCCACAGCAGCTGTGTAATTTTGCACTGGCAATGGCTGCACTAACTTCTAGCCCATTCCAACTCATAGTTGCTCTGCTTCAGGGTTCTGAGGCATAAGTCTTAGGAGGAGACTGCCCATCTTTCTCCGTTGGAACCACTGGTAAATTTGAGCTGCAGGAGATGCATGACTTTTGGTTACTAGCACAACATGCTTATGCAATCAGAACTCTTAATTACTTAACATCTTTTTGTTTTTGAGAATATGCATAGTAGATTGATCATCTACCAATTAAACAATTTCTTCATGTACTATTTAGCGACATAAATTACATTTTTTGAGTTGTGCAACCATTCTCATCCTCCTTTTCTGTGTTGTTCTTCCTCCATCAATGCAAATTCATTGCCCCTTACTCCTCCTTCTCCTCCTTTTGTTAACTTTAGCTGCCTCAGTGACTCTGGTGGCATAGTCCATATGGTGTTGCACTGCTCACCCAAAGGTGGCACCTCTCTGAGACTTCAAACCCACCAGCCTCTCTAGAAGAGAAGGATGGACAATCTCCTCTGTGATTTACAGCCTCGAAAACCCACTATGCGAGCCAGCTATAAGTTGAGGCCAACTAGACAGCAATAAGTGAATGAGCGCTCTTACTGTGGATGACTCATTGTGGTTAGTGTTGAATATGGAGCTCTGGTGGCCTGCTGGATAAGGGGTTGTGCTGCCAACACAAAAACAGGTGGTTCAAGCCAACCAGCTGCTCCGTGGGGGGTAAGATAGACAGTCTCCTCTCCTGTCAATTACACCTTCTGAAAACCCACAGCAGGGTCAGCTATGAGTTGGTACCAATTCAATAGCACATAACAAAGTGTTGAATATTTTGTGATCTTTTGATATTTGAAAATTAGCAATTCATGTTGTATTCATGTAGCAAAGTCATGTTGTATCTATCTCTCTTAATTAGAACTCATTTTCTAGTTTAGATAACAGTTTACTATATTTACTTCTTGCATAAGGATGTTGTAAAATTTGAGTTTTATCTACCCTTTAGTATTGCATGATGCTGTTGAAAACCTCAGTGATGTCAGCAAAGAGGAGAGGAGTGTTTCTGACCTGCGGAACCTTGTGTCTCATTTGGATAGTGATTTTAAAAACGATTAATTCCCAACATTGCTGAAATTAACAATACCTGATGGTGAGTATTGAAAATACAAGAATTTAGGTATACAGGTTTATAACCTTATATTCTGTCAACCTCTATTTGTCCTGTTCAATTAGGTGATAGAATATTGCAGATGGTTGAAAAGTCATTTATATATATTTGTTGTTGTTGTTGTTATGTGCCGTCGAGTCGTTTGCTACTCATAGCGACCCTATGCACAACAGCCCTAAACCCTGCTCTATCCTGCGCCAACCGCACCGCCTCTGACACACCCATCCCGATTACCCCAGTCAC